CCCAGCAAAAAAAAATTCCACTTTCAAAAAAAAAAAAAAAGCAAGAAACAAAATGCAAAAACATAGCAAAAATGTGTGTAGAAAAATGCAAAACTAACTGTGAAAAGCACTGCAAAATGGACAAAAATCAAAGTGCATAGGTGTGAACAGAGCCAAAAGCCTATGTGTGCATGCACACATAGGATAACATGCTGGGGAGTTTACTAGCTGTATAAAAAAATGCCAAAAACAGCAACTGTAAAAACATCCAGTGTGCATGAGGACTAATGCTAACTGATAATCTGACTAGTTTAAAAAGTTCAGTTTGGTTGTTAGGTTAGGTTAGAACAGCCTTTTTCAACCTTTTCAACACCCTTGAAATTTTTTTTCAGTCTCAGAGAACCCCTGCTAAAAATGACTTTATCTACAACTAATGATACATTACTGTGAAGGTCAGTGGGAAGAACGCTCCTTACAATTGTGGTCATTGGGAAGAATTACCCCCTTACAGATGGCTAAAAAGATCAGTGGTGTCAGTAGGAACTTACTGTATCTGAGAGGCAGAAATTGCTTTTCGCTCAAGGAACTCCTAGCATCTTCACGAGGAACCCTGGTTGAGAAACCCTGGGTTCGAACAATGTATGGACAGGTCTTACTACATCCAATTGTTTGAACGTCCTATAGAGCACCAACATCGCTTAGCTGCAGAAATTCAGGATGGGATAAAAAATATTTACTGATAGAAGGTAAAATGGAAACTTTGTTATTGGGTCAGTTTTATTTATTATGTGACAGAGGATCCCCAGAGCACTATGGGTTTTCAGCAGCAGAGCTTCTTGCTTTGAGGCTTTGTCTAAGTGAAACTTCGGAATTGTTCTGTTTGTCTTTCTTCCAGGTATTCTTGTTTTCTACCACTTCCTAAAATAAAAGCGTAGACCAGGAAACTTTTTTTCTGATTTTTAGAGGGCATATATTTATGTGAATGTCTTTGTAAATTGTTGTAGACATCGTCAGCACTATATACACAACAAAATAAAATAGGAATTACCGACAATGTGAGAAAAGCAAGATAACTGTAGCAAAGCTGGATAACCCTTCATTTGTCAGAGATAAGTATCCAGTTGGAGATTGATTTAGGTCTTTAGGCTTCCACGGCTTTTGCCAGTAGTAGACCAGGATGAACTCCTGACCAGTCACCTTTCTCCCAACGAAAAGGTATATATCTATGGGGGTCTCAACAGGACTAATACTGTACATGGTGCCACAATTGTCCAGTGTTTAGGTTGCCATCTTAGAACTATGAGTACCTTAACATACAGAAAAGGATTTGGGGTACACATGTCCAAGCACATATGTCCAAGACACCCGTGACCTCCAAACTGGCGAGTTATAAAATCTTAGATCCTTAACTCCTGCTGTATTCATCTTCTGAATTCATCCTTTATTGAGCTACCGTTTTGCAAGAATGGAGCAAGCCTTTTTCCTAAATTTCCTGGCATCAGTTGCTTTTAACCCCTTGTCTACCATATCATGAGGACTATCAGTTAACACACCCATGAAACCATTAAAGCTTAATATTAGATTGTGGAAAAAGTAAGATTTACAGCTAAGGTCCATTGGCATTGCACAGGAGCAAGCCCCTTGGATAACAGGCCGTACGCCATGGCTAAATTAGCAAGTTATCACACCAGCATTACCATGCAGGATAATACCAACAAATCTAATTGGTGTAAAGGAGACAATCTGAAATACAAATGTCTGTCTTGATGCTGCAAATCTACCTTAAGCTTGACTGTTTTAGGGGGTGCCTCTGTAACATGGGTATCAGCCACTAAGAATTAGGTGATAATTCTCCCTGGATGAACTGCTGAAGGCCTGGAGAAAAGACCAGGAATACATGTGTACGTGCTAGCAAGGGGGAACAAATTTGGTGCCACTGTGTGGCTGCCCTGGGAAGTGCAGTGATATTCTAGAACTCATTTTAGCACTTTAAAATAAAGAAAATTATGATGATTTGTAATTGTAATTTTTTTTTTATTTAGCTGGGTTTTCAGTTTTTAGTATGTGCATCTTTTTTTGTGTTTTCCAGCAAAACGGCCAGACCAAAATGCAGACTATTAAATCTGTGTACAGAGGAGGTAATTGCATTATAGATATATAATTTTTTTCTGTTAAAGGGAACCTGCCTTAAAGAAATACAGCTGTTACTGTTAACCTCATCCTAAAAAATGGTTATTGCCTGGCTGCCTTACTCTTTTGAGTTACCAACCTGGAGCAAGCATGTAGCAAGTGAAGTAAAATCTCTTGACTACCATACGTGTTCAGTGTGAAACCAGAAAGTTGAAATAACAGCTAGGCATTTTACAAAAGAATGTTAGTGAAGGCAGTCTCTGTTATCTTTGTCACAACAGGCTTCCTTTTCTAAGACTGTGCAATTATTTTAGCGCCCTGAAGAATAGCGCAAATGTGGCACACAAGTGTATCGCTCATGTAAAGGATTCCTGACTAAAGAGAGGCCAGCCTCATAAGGCACTTATTTGGTCAGCAACAATAAAATGTTGGATAATTGCCAACTGTTCATGTTAGTACAGTGCCCCTTTAGAATCTATGTACTTAAAGGCCCAAGCCACTAAGAGCACACATCTTATTTGCAGTAACGATCGTTATTTTCAGCTCATATTGCTGAAAATAACAATCGTTATATCTTAGTTAATTCAGCGCAGCGCGGTTTTTGTTGTTTTTGTCCATGCAGTGCTAAATTGACTGCGACTGTTGAGATGCCACCAATTCCACCAATGTTCTATAGCTGAGTCCCAACGCTGTACTAATCGGGGTCTACATAACACCTTACAGCACCGATATCTCCAATTACCTGGATGCTGTTCATACACAGAGCAGAAGCTTTCTCCAGCTATTGATGGAAAACACTATCTGCCCTTTGCAGGTTTGCTCTTTTCCAGTTTCAAGTGACCAAATAATGAACATTTGGGGGTGAAGATTGAAACTCCTTTCAAATGGTAAATTTGACTAATGTTTACCCCAGCTTCTATTATCTAGTCACTTAAAGCTGGAAATAATTGGAACAATGGGGGTGGATTGTGCAGTTCAAGTGATCTATTTTAATTTGAACGATATAAATCCAGAATGCCATTGCCCTTACTATATACACACTTAGGGGAGGTTATTGACTGTGCTACCTATGGGGACTATATGAGGAAACACTTTGCAGTCTTAGGATTTCCTCCTACATCCTGTTGTGTCCCTAGGACAGTAAGTGGAGGGAAATCTTTTCAGAGGGACACAGACTTGCAATGGATTTTAACCATTTCCTGCTATATATAAAGCTGTAAAAAATGTTTGGCTTCAGATATACTTAAAGGCTTTTCATTTGTTCTTTTGGCATTTAGGACTTCCTAATGGCATTATCTGCCACACTTGTGGGCTTAAGCTGGGTACACACTATTAGAAAACCGGAAGAAAAATGCCCCTTTGGGACTAGGAGAATATTGGTAGACCCATTATCATGCCCCATTGGCACAAGAAGAATATTGGTAGACTTATTCTCTTTCCCTATTGGCACAAGAAGAATATTGGTAGACTTATTCTCTTGCCTTATTGGCACAAGACGAATATTGATAAACCCATTTTCTTGCTACCTTGGAACAAGAATAATATTGGTAGACACATTGTCTTGCTACCTTGCACAAGAAGAATATTGATAGAACAATTTACATGCCCCACTGGGAGAAGAAGAATATTGGTAGACCAATTTTCATGCCCGATTGGGAGAAGAATATTGGTAGACCCATGCTCATGCTACCTTGGCTCAAGAAGAATATTGGTAGACACATTCTCCTGCTACCTTGTCACAAGACGAATATTGATAGACCAATTTACATACCCCACTGGAACAAGAAGAATATTGGTAGACCAGTTTTCATGCCCCATTGGAACAAGAATATTGGTAGACCCATTCTTCTGCTACCTCGTCACAAGAATATTGATAGACCAATTTACATACCCCACTGGGACAAGAAGAATGTAGATAGACCAATTTTCATGCCCCATTGGAACAAGAATATTGGTAGGCCCATTTTCTTGCTAGCTTGGCACAAGTAGAATATGTGTAGGCCCATTCTCATGCTACCTTGGCACAAGAAGAATATTGGTAGACCAATTCACATTCCCCACTGGAACAAGAATATTGGTAGACCCAACTCCATAAATATGGGACACATATCCCACAAGAAACCTAGGCTCTATATGCAGCTTTTCAGTAGGAATGTGTGGGAAATCAGGACTTTGGACTCCCTTTGAGCCCCAGTTACATGACCAATGAGGTGGCATTGGTAATTTAATCTGCCACAGGGACTTACCTGAACAGTGACCCTCCCTACCGAGAGAGACCAAGTAACCAATGCCTCAGTATTCAATATGTGACTGTACCTTTTTTGAATGTTTTAAGATGATGTATTTTAAAATCAGGATGCACCACAGTTCAAATATAGACTCTTTAAGCTGAAGCTCCACATTCACTCTAACAAGAGATGATGAAACAAAGTGGATGAGCACACACAACATTTTTCAGGGTGTCTGGACTGCATGATTCTCTTATTGCAAGCAGTGTTGGCTAGAGTTATTGTTTAACATGTAGCACCCTTGCTCTCCCTTGTACAGCCAAGAAGGCCTTAAACAGTCATACTGTAGCCTTTTGGCAAGATGGTAGCAGTACCTAGTAATGGGTTACATGCTAGAGCTTTGACGCTCTGCTCCAGGCAGTACGAGTTGCTCAGAATGGGTATGGGGGAGCCGATACAAGGGTGATTAGCTGTGCTCTCAGGGGATGTCTGTATAATAAGCTATTTTCTGGTGCTTGAGCAAAGTGCTTCTTTCAATCACTTATGCTTCCGTGTAAACTGTAACAGGAGAATTACAACAGCAGCGCAGCTTGGCCGCACAGGCTTGGGGAACCGCATTTAATCATGTTCACCTCTCTCTTTTATGTTCTTTCAGAATCAGGAATGGTGAATAGCCGGACATCGGAAAGCACCACGGCGGTCACCAGTAACACTTCCCCTCCCAAAGCCTGTGCCGGCTGTGGGGGGAAAATTGCCGACAGGTTCCTTCTGTATTCCATGGATCGGTATTGGCACACTCGGTGCCTGAAGTGTTCCTGCTGCCAGGCTCAGCTGGGGGAAATTGGCACTTCGTGTTACACAAAAAGCGGTATGATCTTGTGCCGAAATGACTATATCCGGTGAGTGAACATGCAACACTTTCAGAGATCACAGATCTTAATAAATAATGAATTTGAATATCTTTCTGTCTTCGCTGTGTTGTCAAGAAGAAATAAAGTAACATGTTATTTATGGCAGTTTAGGTAGTCTCGATTCCCTTATGTGGTCTTTTGTTTTCTGTTTTTCTGATGAAAACAGAAGAGAGACTGAATATTGATCCTGCACTTGTAATCTGCTTCCCCCTGGCCATCAGTCTAAAAAGATGGAGATAGCCAGGATCAAAACTGCAGCATGATGCAGTTTTTAAACTGGGAATAACAACCTGATTCTTAGATGCACTTAAACAGCCTGATTTGTTTTGGCATTTATTTTTTTGCTTTTAGAAAGAGACTTAAAGGGGGAGATTCACTAAAACTGGTGCACTCAGAATCTGGTGCAGCTGAGCATGGCAGCTAAACAGCTTCTAACTTCAGAGTATTCAATTAGGCTTTTACAATAAAACCTGGAAGCTGATTCGTTTCTACAGTATGCAGAGCATGCACCAGATTTTATATGCTTCAATTTTAGTAAATCCCCCTCAAAGTGTATTTCCCCTTTAACAGCCAAGTTGGGATAACGCCTGCATATTCCTATTCTCATAGCATAACTTAAACTGATATTTAAAAATTGTTGCTTAAAATCCTCCCTAATTTTCTCCTTCTAATACTAAAACAGGGCTAGGGATTTATGTTTGGATACTATAATTGGTTCTGCCCATAATGGCAGATCTCATTATCAGTTGTAAACTGGATTGAGGGTCAGGGACTGATGTGCAGGTACAATATATATGTAAAGCGCTGAATTAATTGATGGCGATATATAAGTACTTGAAATAAATAAATGTGCACACTGTCAGGGTTAAAAATCTCAAGGCATGGGTAGTATGTTACTGCCTCTAAAAAAAAAAAAATCTGTATCTACATCTGTCCCCTAAGGTCCCATTCACATCTGGAAATTTGGGATTGCAAGCAGAATCGCAATTCTAAATCGCACTGCTATAGCGGCAAAACGCACCACACGTGTTTGGGTGCCATTCATGTTTAAATGAACCTAAATACAGTGTGGTTCTGCTGTGGTTGTCGTGCAATACATCACGCGGCAAACCGCAACGTTCAAAGCTCCTGCTCCTTTGCGCAACAATCACGTGGTACATTTTGTCACTATCGCAGTGCGATTTGGAATCGCAGTGATTCTGCCCATGATTCCAAATCACCAGATGTGAATGGGGCCTAATTGCACATTACAAGCTATTTTTAAACCATTTTAAGCTGCCTATAAATTGTAAGACCTTCTCCAAAGAAAACTAGAGCGGTAAAAAATTTTTTAAACAACTTTTAGGTATGTTGTGTGAATGGGAACACATAACAAACATATAGCTGGGGGTTTCTCAAATGAAAATATACTCTATTTTAGTCGGCATGGCCGCAATTACTATTCCACATTGGGCCAAACCATTAATAAAGGGACTAAATTATCCAAATATATTAGAGATATACAGTACATAGGTTAGATTGTAACATTTTGCTTTCCCTCTACAACACTCCATTTCGGCATTACTGAAAAGTAAGTGACTAAAGTCAACCTGTGCATCAAGTTAATTGGCAGCATTCATTTTGGCTGAAGAACTTCCACTTACTGGCAGCTTAGAATGAGCACATCTGCCCCACCTACATCCAGCAATACACGATGCCTACGTTACCTATCTGCCAACCTAAACATTGCCACAAGAGTGGGCGACAAGCTGTACCAAATAGTATGTTGGTGTTTGCGAACGTGCTGTAGGGGAGCTCTGGATATGTAGGCGTCTGGTAAAGCTGCTAGTTTGCTAAATCCTTTTTACTGCATGTTCCCTTTAGTTCAGTAAATTGGAAATATATTAGTTACCCACTAAAAGTTGGATATAAAAAAGATCCCTTGACATTTTTATTCATTATTTGGGAGCGATACTTATTTTTTTTTTTTTCTATAATAGTGTATAATCTGATACTATAATTTTATGGAAATTATGGAGATTGTAATTTTTTTTACCTCTTTCTAAAATTACTAGAATGCATTGAATCTGATGAATTGGCATGACAACCGGGTAGCTAGTATTTTAGGAAAGGTCCACAATGGTCACCTTCACATTTTGCTCACCACATGTGATATTTTGAGCAATAAATAAATACCTCTGTCTAGTGTTTTGTGTGTGGGTGTTTTTTTTTTTTTTTTGCCGTCTATCACCCTACTGGGGAGATTTCACCTCAGTTTCTGTTTGACAGCAGGATAAGAAATGAGAAGAGCAGTTATCACTTTTACAGTAAAAATAAACTGACAGAGCTTTTAGCCTTTCCCCCATCATCTTGTTGCTATCTGTGTCCCTGCTTGAGAGATTTCCCACCACTTCCTGTTCTGCCACAAGGGAAACTCTCCATTGGGGACAAATGCAAGAATCAGTCTGTTGGTATAAAATAGAAGAATATTGGTAGACCCATTATCATGCCCCATTGACACAAGAAGAATATTGGTAGACTCTTTCTCTTGTCCCATTGGCACAAGAAGAATATTGGTAGACTCATTTTTTTGCTACCTTGGCACAAGAATATTGGTAGACCCTTTTTTTTGCTACCTTGGCAAAAGAAGAATATTGGTAGACCCATGTTTTTACTACCTTGGCAAAAGAAAAATATTGGTAGACCCATTTTTTTTTCTATCTTGGCAAAAGAAGAATATTGGTAGACCCATTTTGTGCTACCTTGGCAAAAGAAGAATATTGGTAGACCCATTTTCTTGCTACCTTGGCACAAGAAGAATATTGGTAGACCCATGTTTTTGCTACCTTGGCACAAGAAGAATATTGGTAGACCCATTTTTTTTTTGCTGCCTTGGCACAAGAAGAATATTGGTAGACCCATTTTCTTGCTACCTTGGCAAAAGAAGAATATTGGTAGACCACTTTTCATGCCCCTTGGGACAAGAATATTGGTAGACATATTCTCCTGCTATCTTGTCACAACCACCATAGATCTGCAGCTTTCCTTAGTGCTAGGTTTTGGGTGGCCCTGTTTAGCTAATGGTGAGTACAGTTATATTTTCACGTAGTTCCATTCTGGATATATAAAGTGGAACTTCAGCCAAACTACTAACTACACAGTAGAAACACAGATTATGTGAACATTTTTGCCTGTTAGGATATTTAATTGAGTTCAGCCACTGTTGTGATTTACCCACACCCACTACACTACGCAGCCATCATGACTTCACGATTCAGCCTGCAGTGTCTCCCACTCTCTTACTCCTCTGGCCAACCAATTGGACTATACTGTATATGAGTAGCACCAATCTGGGATACGCCCTTTAATTTTCTTAAACAGCTCAAGCTCCCATTGCTTGAAAGATTGAGTAACGCAAGTTAAAACCTGATTGGCTTACAGTGCTGGCATGCCCATCCTGGTGTGCATGAGGTTATGGTAAGCTTTTTAAGCATGGATTAAAGTTTTATTGGTCTGGAGTTCTGCTTTAAGTTCCAGATTTTCATCCCGCAGGCAAGCTGGAACTTATTCTACAGCAGCTGCGGTGGTGCTCAACTTTTATATGGCCCTTTAAAACCCCCGGGCAGAATACAATTACAAATCTATTTTCAGATCAATCTGAGGATTTCATGTGGAACTAATGAGGAACCACATAATTTACTCCAAGGCTAGGAAGTACCAGTTGTGACTGTATGCTTCAGCCAGCTGGGATACAGTTATAGATAGATGGATATAGAAGCTCTGGAGTTCTAAATTGTATATGGTACTGGTAGCTCTGTACTGCTGATCCTGGCACTATAAGACGTTCTCTGTCTATTGCCTCTCCTGCGCTCTGCCTTCAGCCCCCAAGGAAACTTTGTGTTTGACCACCAATAAAATTTACTCTTGTGTTAAAATATCTAGAAAAGTGAATATTATTTATTCAAATATTTATGTACATTTTCCTGTATGTGTGGATAAGTGTAGATACTTGTGTGAATATCTAATCAGTCTCTATATATATGAAAAACAATGCTGCGCCATTCCTTTCCAATTAGGAGGGTGTAAACTGGCTTGTGTCCTTTTACACCCGCCTACCTCCAATCCGGTCCACTAAAAAAAATGGAAGGGGATCTGTCCCCCTTCTAGGTGGATCGGAATGGAGGGCGGTATAAATGGACAGCGGAGTCAATTTGCAGCCGACTGCCCATAGAGCAGAGTCCATATCTGCTCTTCATAAACTGAGTGCACCCGGACCTGTCGTCTGCCAGCTCTGCTCTGATCAGCAGGGGATCAGCGGACAGAGCCCACCCCATGAGAAAGGGCCCAATGCTTATACATATACACCCGTGATTAAAAACAATCCAATAGCCCAATATGGATCAACCATTGTAAGCTGAAGAACACTCTTGAGGGACTGCTTGTGTTGTCCGATGGCGGCATTGCTGGACAGAATGTTAGGTGTGGTCAATCAACTTCTACATTTCCATTTTCTTAGAAAACACTGATCTTAATGAGTTTTGGTATGATAGGTATTGGGTTAAGTTTAAGGTTTAAGTTTCAAATTAAGAGTTAAGCTTCTAAGTGAAAGTGAAGAGTTCGCTTTAGGGGTAAGGAGAAATTCACTTTCTAGTTTGACTGATTTTCTCACTGTAAACATCACACCAAAAACCTTCAGCGAAGGTGTAAATGTGCTGCTTTGATTTATTCCCACTGCCTCTTTTTCATTCATATTCCAGCAATTCACAAGGCAGGCAAAATGCACAGACTAACAAAAAATAAAAAAAACAAACATAAAAAAGTATTGCTTTCATTGCACTTGGTCTGTGAAAGCTCACGGTGAGAAAAATATGGTGAATGTGCGTTTAAAATGTCATGAATGGAAAAGCGTCAAGACAGTAAATGACTTAAAACGCCATGGTGCGCAAAATATACAAAATTCATGTAAAAACATTACATTGGATGCATGTTTTTCTATAACAGTATATTTA